ATAGTGGGATAATACCGCACCTCCCGGGTATAGTGGGATAATACCGCACCTCCCGGGCATAGTGGGATAATACTCACCTCCCATGCATAGTGGGATAATACCGCACCTCCCGGGCACAGTGGGATAATACTGCACCTCCCGGGCATAGTGGGATAATACCGCACTTCCCGGGCATAGTGGGATAATTCCCGACATCCTGGGCATAGTGGGATAATACTGCACCTCCCGGGCACAGTGGGATAATACTGCACCTCCCGGGCATAGTGGGATAATACCGCACCTCCTGGGCATAGTGGGATAATACCGGGTTAAGTGGGATAATACTGCACCTCCCGGGCATCGTGGGATAATACCGCACCTCCCGGGCATAGTGGGATAATACCGGGTTAAGTGGGATAATACTCACCTCCCATGCACAGTGGGATAACACCGCACCTCCCGGGCACAGTGGGATAATACCGGGTTAAGTGGGATAATACTCACCTCCCGGGCACAGTGGGATAACACCGCACCTCCCGGGCATAGTGGGATAATACCGGGTTAAGTGGGATAATACTCACCTCCCGGGCACAGTGGGATAATACCGCACCTCCCGGGCATAGTGGGATAATACCGCACCTCCCGGGCACATTTGGATCATACTCACCTCCCGTGCACAGTGGGATAATACCGCACCTCCCGGGCATAGTGGGATAGTACCGCACCCCATGGGCATAGTTGGATAATACCGCACCCCTCCGGCATACTGGGATAGTACCGCACCCCACAGGCATAGTTGGATAATACCGCACCCCCGGGCATAGTGGGATAATACCGCACCCCACGGGCACAGTGGGATAATACCGCACCTCCCAGGCATAGTCTTTGGGAATGGGGTGAGGTGAGGTGAGGTGGGGTGAGGTGAGGTGAGGTGAAATGGGGTTTGACGTCGCGTCCAAGATTATTGCACTTATATAGCGACTTGCATGCCCGTGTGTGTGTGTGTGTGTTTGTGTCTGTCTGTCTGCTTGTACTAGTCCGGACTGATGCCGATTTTATAGTGCTACCCCACTGAGATACCATGGCGCAGTTTAACATGAATACCCCAGACACAGTGTACTGACATTATGCGCACCCCCTTTTACACAGCTGATTTTTTTGGGTAAAAATGTGCGCACCATCCTCAAGAAAATACGCTGCTTGAAATCAGTGTCAATCTCAAGTATTTGTGTTATTGTATTAATCATGAGACCATCTAGTTACATAGTATGATGTCTTCGTTCACCAACACCTCAGGTGAGTGAGGTGAAATGGGGTTTGACGTCGCGTCCAAGATTATTGCACTATAAGCGACGTGCATGCACGTGTGTGTGTGGCTGCTTGTACTAGTCCGGACTGTGCCGATTTATAGTGCTAGATCACTGAGATACCATGGCGCAGTTTAACATGAATACCCCACTCAGACACAGTATACTGACTCCGAGCCGACCAGTCCTAGTCTTAGCCCCTTAATGCCGAGCGTCAGACAGGGTAACAACAAGTACCATGTTTGAACGTCTTTTGGTATGACCCGGCCGAGGATCGAACTCCCAACACCAGAATGAAAGGGTCTGTGTTGTCAATACTATGTTGATGTTTTGGTGGAAATGCAGCGGACGTGTGTGGTTTCAGTTGAGTTTTATGCTCCTGATCTTTCTGAAGGTGAGATCGATCTTGCATCAACTACTGATGTAAACGAGTCTCTTCGTTGTCCTTTGTCACACCGACTGGACATGTTCCTGGTGATGGCTGCAACACTGTGATGTCAATAATGATCAACACGTGACGGAAACCCTTATATTGTACGAGCCAACTGTACAACATCCAGTAGATGTATAGACCCGTGAAGATCCGGGGTATAGAATAGGTCTTCAGCAACCCATGCTTGCCGTAAAAGGCGACTATGCTTGTCGTAAGAGGCGTCTAACGGGTTCGGGTGGTCAGGCTCGCTGACTTGGTTGATGCTTGTCATCGTATCCCAATTGCGTTGATGGATGCTCATGACATTAATCACTGGATTGTCTGGTCCAGACTCGATTATTATTTACAGACCGCCGTCATATAGCTGGAATATTGCTGAGTGCGGCGTTAAACAACAAACTAACCATCCAATCATAGACTGCCCAAACCCTCAACGGTCACGCGACTTCACGGAAACTGTCTTTGCACTGCATGATTCAGTGTTCAGGTGTCTTGTGAGCACAACCAAGACTTAATGTGTTTAATGGAGATTTTGGGCAAAGCAACAGATACAGTCTATTGATAGTTTTATAACAGAGTTTATGACACGACTAAAATGTATATGAACAAGATCGGCATGCCTCACTAACAGGTGGTTCTGAAACACTCACCTACTCATTGTTCAAGACGTATTGCTATGTGGGTCCTTATATAAATAGTATTACAGTACGTAGGTTTTCGTCCAGTGTAAGCTCAGTTCTGTTGCAGTTCCTATCAATTGTACATAGAAACAAGAAATAATCTGTGAAGTGTGTAACTGACGATAGTGTAGAAAATGAGTATACATAACGTTTTGCTTGTTTGTGAGGCTTATGCAGATCTGCGTCAAATTTATCTTCACGATAAATACTATGTACATTCCACTTTACGGAAATATATTATAATCAGATAACAAGTATTTGTCACAGAAGTGACGAAATGTCCCCCGCCTGTATATACACCAAAATACCAGATATGAAGACAATCCAGCGATTAGTTCTTGAGATATCGCGGCAACACCGTTTTCCAACTCCAAAAGCAGATTTGCCTGCTGTGACCTTGAAAATAGGGTCAAGGTCACCAAAACCGACTGGTGTCTGCGGTGTCTGTATATACACCATAGTTCCAAATATTAAGACAATCCTGCGATTAGTTCTTGAGATATCGCGGCAACACCGTTTTCCAACTCCAAAGGCAGATTTACCTGCTGTGACCTTGAAAATGGGCTCAAGGTCACCAAAACCGACTGGTGTCTGCGGAGTCCGTATATACACCCTAGTACCAAATAGGAAGACAATCCAGAGATTAGTTCTTGAGATATCGCGGCAACACCGTTTTCCAACTCCAAAAGCAGATTTACCTGCTGTGACCTTGAAAATGGGCTCAAGGTCACCAAAACTGACTGGTGTCTGCGGAGTCCGTATATACACCCTAGTACCAAATAGGAAGACAATCCAGAGATTAGTTCTTGAGATATCGCGGCAACACCGTTTTCCAACTCCAAAAGCAGATATGCCTGCTGTGACCTTGAAAATGGGGTCAAGGTCACCAAAACCGACTGGTGTCTGCGGAGTCCGTATATACACCCTAGTACCAAATAGGAAGACAATCCAGAGATTAGTTCTTGAGATATCGCGGCAACACCGTTTTCCAACTCCAAAAGCAGATATGCCTGCTGTGACCTTGAAAATGGGGTCAAGGTCACCAAAACCGACTGGTGTCTGCGGAGTCCGTATATACACCCTAGTACCAAATAGGAAGACAATCCAGAGATTAGTTCTTGAGATATCGCGGCAACACCGTTTTCCAACTCCAAAAGCAGATTTACCTGCTGTGACCTTGAAAATGGGCTCAAGGTCACCAAAACTGACTGGTGTCTGCGGAGTCCGTATATACACCCTAGTACCAAATAGGAAGACAATCCAGAGATTAGTTCTTGAGATATCGCGGCAACACCGTTTTCCAACTCCAAAAGCAGATTTACCTGTTGTGACCTTGAAAATGGGCTCAAGGTCACCAAAACTGACTGGTGTCTGGGGAGTCCGTATATACACCCTAGTACCAAATAGGAAGACAATCCAGAGATTAGTTCTTGAGATATCGCGGCAACACCGTTTTCCAACTCCAAAAGCAGATTTACCTGCTGTGACCTTGAAAATGGGCTCAAGGTCACCAAAACTGACTGGTGTCTGCGGAGTCCGTATATACACCCTAGTACCAAATAGGAAGACAATCCAGAGATTAGTTCTTGAGATATCGCGGCAACACCGTTTTCCAACTCCAAAAGCAGATATGCCTGCTGTGACCTTGAAAATGGGGTCAAGGTCACCCAAACCGACTGGTGTCTGCGGAGTCCGTATATACACCCTAGTACCAAATAGGAAGACAATCCAGATATTAGTTCTTGAGATATCGCGGCAACACCGTTTTCCAACTCCAAAAGCAGATATGCCTGCTGTGACCTTGAAAATGGGCTCAAGGTCACCAAATCTGACTGGTGTCTGCGGAGTCTGTATATACACCATAGTTCCAAATATGAAGACAATCCAGTGTTTAGTTCTTGAGATATCGCGGCAACAAACAGGTGGGACGTACGGACGTACGGACGGACGTACGGACGGTCGTGAATACTATATCCCCTGCTTCGCGCTTTCGCGCGGCGGGGGACAATAATTATCAAATATTTGACTATGTTTGTATTTCATGCAACGCAATTCACTCACTCACTACTATTGCAGAAATTACTTTTCCAGTATCAACTTTTATTCAATTCTTCTCCGTCTTTCTCAACTTGCCTATTCGTTCGGAGAGACTGTCGTATAATCATTTATGGAAAGTTGCGAGTGCACTCTCACACACAGAGTCCCTTCGTTGTTGGCCAAGTTATCAGTGCGCCGGGGTGTGATGCGCACATGTATCTGCTTGTGGTGATGAATGTACTGCATCACCTCGGTTATCTCCCCGGAAGTGAACTTTCACGTGGTCAACTATGGCGGCAAGAAGAAGTAAACAAATGCTGCCATCTATTTGAAAATGGACATGGACAAGACGGATACATGACAAGAATCATTAATATTTGCAGTTGATGATGTCTGCAATCAAATGAACGTCTGAAGTAGTGTGATGTGTTATCTTGTCACCACGGTAAGATGTGGTTTGGTCTGCGTTCATCTATGGTTACTTTCGTTTTCGTCGATCTAACTTTACAGCTGATTTAGACTAAGACTACTTCCTGGAAGTTCAGTGACGTCATTAAAGTTTCTTGGTACTGTGCACTAGTAGTGCATATTTGTGCATTGACAAGCTTCCCGGTCGTCAGCTCTGTTCCAAGTACGACTGTGGTTTTTCCCCATTTACCCCGTGTGGCCGTCTTTCAGTCAAGTGGAGACCCGGCCCATCGATCACCACCCAGATGACCACTAATTGTGTCAAATGTCTGTTATAGGTGGGTGACTGTTACCAGATTATTGATCTGCACAATCGTGGGTCATGTGATGATTTGATTGACAGGGGGTTGGGCTCTTGAATAATGTTTCTGAGAAAGATTTGGCCTACACCAGGAATATTCAGGGCTGGGGTATTATTGTTAGTTTTCTGTTTTGTTTCAGTGGAAGGGGAGTGGGTGTAAAGACTCTCACCTCACCCTGTTGAAAACATGTTGAGAACTTGAGAGGAGTTGTGTGAACAACATCCAGAAGCTAAGTATGTTGTTTTGATGGTGAACAACATCCAGAAGCTAAGTATGTTGTTTTGATGGATCTGTATGATCATGATGATGAGTTACTTTCGATATGAACTTATCACGACCAACCCACCCCACTCCTCTGAGAATAACACCATTTAAGTTTTTTTCCCAGTATATGACTATTCTGGGCCATGTTGGTGGTATGAGCTTACGTCATGTATGTTTATCAATCTAAAATTTTCGTCCCTCTGTCTGCTTCGAAACTACTGTTGAAACTGGTTATCTCGAACACTGTTATCTCAAATGTATCATAATCTTGAACCTATCCTCGGGTCCTGACTGCCTCAATATATTTCTATCATGCCTCATTATCTTAAATGCCCAGATACCTCGAAGTTAGAAAATGGTCCCATAGATTGATTTCGCCACATGTAGCGCAAGTCTCAAAAACAAAGTCATGTTTTCATTTTAAGATGGCTGCTGGAATAAACATGATGAAGAAGGAAATAGCTAATTGACAATGATAATTTTCGTTATCATTGCAGTGATTGACCATGTTTATTTCAAGAATGTCCCGCCAACCAGAGAGAGAGCAACTGAAGCAGGCTGTGCGAGATGTCCTCCGGGATAACCCACGCGGAATCAAGAGAGAACATTTGTGGAACTTCACGGCCAAAAAACTTGGAAGGTCGCCCCGTGCAAGTGACTATGGGGTTGGGAAAATGTCACAGATGTTTCCCTTTGTACAACACCTCTACCTGGAATTCAAGGAAGGGAAAGATATCTTCATCAAACTGAGACCCGTTGGTGCAGATGCTGAGGTCATATCAAGTGATGAAGATGACTTTCCTTCATTGCTCTCGAGTCGAGTAACTAAAGCAAAACCAAGCAAATCGACAGCATCCCTTTCATCCCGAGACAGCAAGGGCTCATCAAGGAAGACCCCAAAGCAAAGTGCATCATCTGATTCCTTCCTATCCCTGGATGTGTCAGGGTCCAGCTGGTCGTCTGAGGGGCCGTCCAGGCAGGAGATGCTGGATGAGCTTAAAGATCAACTTGTGAAACTGTTGAAAAAGAAAGGCAAGGTACTGAAACTGCAGTTATGGGGACACTTTCAGCGTGAATATCAAGTCACACCAAAAGGATCAGATTATGGTGTCAACAAAATGGCTGATGTGATTCAACAGTTCACAGATGTCATTGAAGAGCGACGGATTGATGGTGAAAATTATTTACTGCTCAGACAAACAAGACCGAAAGTTAAGGACACAAACATGACATGGGGTCAGGGTGCTGCAGCCAAGTCAACCCCAGCTGTTGGCAGGACGTCCCAGCAGAGAACAGCCCCAGCTGTTGGCAGGACGTCCCAGCAGAGAACAGCCCCAGCTGTTGGCAGGATGTCCCAGCAGAGAACAGCCCCAGGCATTGGCAGGACGTCCCAGCAAACAGTCTTGTCGTCTTCTGATGATTCTTCCGACACTGACAGTGATTGTGTAGTCGATGAAAGAAAAACATTTGTACGCTCAAAGGGAAAGTCTGAAACAGATTCTCAGCATGAGTTTGACAAGCTTGCACAGGAGATTCAGTCAGCCAGGATGCATAGGAATTTTGTTGACAGGGTGTTTGGCGGTCCCAGCACGCAGGGTATGAGGCCACCACAACCTCTCCAACCTCTCATGCCTGCACCACTCCAACCCCTCAAGCCTCCAGCCCTCAACTTCTTTCAACCTGTAGTTCCAGCTCAGTTCCAGCAGGTGACTCCACCTCAGATTGTAGGGCCTGTAGTTCCTGCACAGCATCTCTCACAGATGGGTCTGCCTGCGGCTGCTGTTTCTGCTGTTGCTGCTGCTGCTGCACACAACATGTCCAGGCATCCAGCTCCTCACGCATCAAGGTCCAGTTCCCGGGGGAGTGATGACGATTCCCACGGGCGAAGACAAGGCTCTGAACCTCGATCTCACAAGCCAGGGGCTTCCTCCAGACTTGAAAGGAGAGAGGTCAATGTCACTCCAGTTCCTTACAGCCGAGGTCCGCCATCCAAGGATCAGATTGAAGTTGTTGCAAAAGATTGCATTGCAATCCTAGCTGATGCCAATGAGCACGTGTCAGTGGAGAGGATAGAGAAGCTACTCTGTCAGAGGTTCAATATCAGGACGATTCGTGATCTTGGTTCTGTTCGCTATGTGGAGCAGATCAGTGCTGTTAACGAACACAATCGCCTCCTTTGTAAAGTCAACATGTATGTTCAAGCCTTTGTCAAAGCAAGATCTGTCTGCACAATGTTTGAACTGTCCGAATGTCTGAGGGAATTCACCAAAGACCGGGATGACTTCGAGTCCCTGAAGCTGGGCCCCCTCCAGCGCCTGCCAGTCGTGTATGACATGTTCAAGTTCCCGTGTGACGAGGAGATCCCGGACATCACCACCATGGATATGCTGGAGCACCTGCGTGACTACCTGTCCAAGAACAACAAGTGGATGGAGCGTGTGGAGATGGAGCCGGTGATGACCTACCTGATGGAGGCCTACAACTTCAACACCGCGTACCAGCTCGGCATCAGGATCCGCAGCCTGCCCCTCGCTGTGCAGGTCAGTCTCTGGTTACTATAGTTACAGACTTTACATGCAAAACATATGTGGTTAACCTTACTTTTTAACATTCTGGTGCATGTGGTGTAAGATGTTTACATCTAACCATGAATCCACCTCTTCCCCAGTTGGGGGCACGGGTGGCCCAGTCGTCTAAGGCCCCGCGATTAGCTGTGCAGAGTTGCGTCCCTTGCGCACGCCAGAAACCTATGATTGTGGGTTCGAATCCTGGTTCGCCCCGATTATGTTTCTAGGTTTGTCAGCACCATACCCATGCTTGTGGTTTTCACCGAAGTGGTAAACGTCTGAGTCCTGCATCACTTCGGGCTTTCCTCCCACATTAAGCTGACCCGCTGCGATATAACTGGAATACTGTTACTGTTTAGCCGTTTGTGGAACAGTCCCATATACTAGTTCATAATAACATCACTTTGTGGAATGGGCCCATGGCCTAGTTTGTTTTGTTTCTTCATGGGTAGCTGGTTTATAATAAGATGACTTTGTGGAAGAGGGCCCATATGTTTTGATGTTTATGATGTTGTAGATGCTGAAGAAATCACAGCGTGATGCGGCTGGTACCAGACGGTCTGTCACGGAATCCTTCAAGGACAACTTCAAGAAGGAGCTGGCGGCAGCGTTCCAGAAGTTCCAGGCTGCCATTCTCCAGACGGGGGAGGACGGAGATTCCGAGGTCCGCGGACACTACCTGCGACTGAGACCGGAGATAGCCATCATGGAGATCTTCCAGAAGTTTCAGCTGCTGCTGTCCATCGACCAGCCAGAGACCAGGCCTCAGATGAAACGACATCGACAATTAGAGTCTTCGATAAATAGCTTTCTGTTGACGATGCGCGATGACCAAATGGCCAGTGCCCTGCTTCATCTGGCAATATGTATCGGAAACACGACCCTAGAGGAGTCGGCCATGGAACTGCTGGCACCTCCATCGCCTCCAAGTCAGGAGAGTGCATCAAGGGAAGACAACTCTGCCACACGACAGCCACCATCAAAAGGTATGTAGGTGTATTGGGGTCATGACATGCAGAATAAGTCAACCGTTTATGATGATGTTGATGTTATTGTAGGATGTAGTCTTCCCGTAATGTGAGATGTGTTAGACAGCTTTAAAAAGTACACCAAGCGTTGTCGAATTTTCCAAGATATCAGTAGTCCCAATTAACATGGTAAATGTGGGGTGTGTATGTTTAAAGCGACTGTGATGTGTATATTTACAGCGACTGTATTAGACAACTTGAAGAAGTACATCGAGCGTTGTCTGGCCCACGGCTCACTGAGTCTGGTTCATCTTGAACGAATCGAGGAGAAGCTACTGGAGGAGTTTGCGTACCCTGACTTCAAGATGATGGGCTTTGGCCGCTTCCTGCACTTTCTGTTGACAGATCCAACAGCTAAAGCTGTAAGTAGACTCTACATGTATGCCAGGGTGGGTAACAGATCCAACAGCTGAAGCTGTAAGTAGACTCTACATGTATGCCAGGCTGGTAACAGATACAACAGCTAAAGCTGTAAGTAGACTCTACATGTATGCCAGGGTAGGTAACAGATCCAACAGCTGAAGCTGTAAGTAGACTCTACATGTATGCCAGGGTAGGTAACAGATCCAACAGCTAAAGCTGTAAGTAGACTCTACATGTCTGCCAGGGTGGGTAACAGATCCAACAGCTGAAGCTGTAAGTAGACTCTACATGTATGCCAGGCTGGTAACAGATGCAACAGCTAAAGCTGTAAGTAGACTCTACATGTATGCCAGGGTAGGTAACAGATCCAACAGCTGAAGCTGTAAGTAGACTCTACATGTATGCCAGGGTAGGTAACAGATCCAACAGCTGAAGCTGTAAGTAGACTCTACATGTATGCCAGGGTATGTAACAGATCCAACAGCTAAAGCTGTAAGTAGACTCTACATGTATGCCAGGGGGGTTAACAGATCCAACAGCGGAGATGTCAGTTAGCTCACCTGGCTATCATGTGTCCCAGGGTCCTGTGCAAACGCAGCATTCTTTTAACTACCAGTGAAATTTGTGATTCGCCAGATTGTAATGTTCCGCTGCGAATATAATTGATGAGTTGACGGGAAACTATCCCGGAGTTGTAGGCATGATGGTCACTTCACAACAGATTTATCCAAGGGTACAAGTCTCGCAAAACTTACAATAGTCTTGTGTGACTTCATAGCAGTATAGGGTGTGTCTCAAAAGTGTTTCTACACAACATTGATAACTGACCAGACTCGGGGGAGCATATAAACTTTTATGAACTCTCTAGAACTCCATTCTGGTTGAGAAACACCCCATGGATAATCACTGGAGGTGGGTTGTGTTACAGATGTTGGACGAGGCTGGAGGGACTGTGTTTGGATCGTCTGGCAGAGGAACGGAAAATGAGACTGGATTTCGACCTCAGATGACCGATGTTCTTGAAATGGTGCAGCAGTGTCGCAGTGCAGGTTTCAGTCAGGTGGGTGTCTACACCAGACATTGATACGTGTTTCAGTCAGGTGGGTGTCTACACCAGACATTGATACGTGATTCAGTCAGGTGGGTGTCTACACCAGACATTGACACGTGTTTCAGTCAGGTAGGTGTCTACACCAGACATTGACACGTGATTCAGTCAGGTAGGTGTCTACACCTGACATTGATACATGTTTCAGTCAGGTGGGTGTCTACACCTGACATTGATACGTGATTCAGTCAGGTGGGTGTCTACACCAGACATTGACACGTGTTTCAGTCAGGTTGGTGTCTACACCAGACATTGACACGTGTTTCAGCCTGGTGGGTGTCTACACCTGACATTGATACGTGTTTCAGTCAGGTAGGTGTCTACACCTGGCGTGCATTCAATAAGCCATTTGGTGCCGAGGCGCCCGCGAGCGCTAGCGAGCACCTCCGAATATATCCTAATGAACGGAACGCACGCTGAGAGCGCTTTCTTGTGCCTCCGCGCATACTAAGGAGTAGGCACGCCGAGGGACAAAGATGGCGGACTTGGACAAAGCGGGGCCTGTGAACATTACATTTTCGACATTGAACAACTTGTTAGACATACACGCACTCAGTGGTGAAGTTTGACACCACCACATTAGTAAATACATTTATTTTGAAGACTTTCCACTTGTCCAAACCAGGACATTCCAATTGTTTTAGCTGCATTTTGAAGCCCCTCGCAGCACGGAGTATTTTCCCATGCAACCCATGTTAATTTCAGAACAGAAAAAATCCTTTTCATACGCCTGTTTGTGAACAAGATACATGTATAATAAATTTTGGTATGAATTTGCAGTTTTGTCCCAATAACACTCACATGATTTCTTTTTGTAAACATTTGACATGTATTATTATGCTATATAAACCTTCATTTTTCGAAACTGGAAACGTAAATTGAGATATTTTCATAGGTGTCTATCTTCTATTAAATAAATCTAAAACATTGCGATTTGTTTTTTTACTGCAGTCTACAATATTCCAGCAATATCAGGGCGGCCTGTAAATAATCCATTTTGTCCCTGATAATTTAACCAGTGGTTGATTTGGACAACGTCCCATGCCGTCATGGGCATTCGTGACCAACTCTGGAACAAGCAGGTTACGGAAAGGTGCAAGTGGTGAAGAATGGCCGTCGGGGTACAATGAAACACAATCCACCAAGGCACCGATCCATAGATTACTTTTGGTCAATCAACATAACCTGGAATCTCCAAGTGTTGACTAAAAAAACACATCCCAGGAAATATTGTTTTTCCCGAACGAGAGCGAGGGTAATACATTTATTCTTAGACGAGTTTTGTAAAATCAGTCTGACAAACATGCGAGTATAATAACTTCTTTGGTACCTATTAATTCCTAATCCATCTGAGCTTTCCTTTAGAGAAATGCACCGATCACGACCGCCGTCTTAGAAAACTACAATTGTCAAATGACGTCAACTGTCTTCAGCTATGACGTCATTTCTAGTGTTAGAATAAAATTTGACATACGATAACAATGCCGCCGGATGACATACAATATACTAGTGCGCGTGAACGATATTGCACCAGTGCACATACGACTTTTAGTAACTCCATTTTTTTCTAACCCTATAGGTAATTAATTATTTTTTTTGTGATTTATGAGACTTTGTTCTTGCCGTTTTGGCAATATAGTGACATGTCTAACCCGACGTATTAAATTTAGTCCCCTTAATAACTGTCCAGAATATACTTAAATTAAATATATATGAATATAAACATCAAACCAATATGTTTTACCCAAATAACTGGTAAATAAAATACCTGGAATACAGTTTTAAGAAGTCAGATTTTATTTGTCTTCTTAAATCTACATCTTCGACAGCTTCAATGCAGAACCAGAAGTTCTTATTCACCTAATGTTCCGATTCGACTTTATTTTATTTACCCCAGTACGTTTGTAAATACAGTACGACACGGATATAACGAACACGGATAGAGCGAACAAACGGATGCAACAAGCTGTTACAAACTCCACGATCTCCTATATATTATCATATAAAATTTAATTTCCCCAACGAGCCCATCTACCACTAATTAGTGACTTGTACAGCGAACTGAGAAATCTCATTCAGTGTCAATTGTCACTGACAATTGGCTGCACGCAGATTGCGGCGAATCAACACAATCTAGTCCATATTTTGATTTTCCAATGTTCAATAAGTCGGTAGGATTACATGAGTTGGGTCGACGTATATCACGATAATGCCATACAATAGAGTTTTGTTGTCTGATCGGTGTCTGTCTAACTAACGGTACGTTTATCGTATCTTTATTCTAAACAATAATACTTCGCATACACAATGTTCATCAATATTGCTAAAATCAGTCTGCGACGCCATTTTGAAAACCGCGCCCTCCGCCGGCGGTAGTTGCAAGATCATTCGATAACACCCGAGCGCCCGCGGAGAGCGCTCAGTAAGCGCTCAGAAAGCGCCTCGGCCTACTGAACGCATGCCTGACATTGATACGTGTTTCAGTCTGGTGGGTGTCTACACCAGACATTGATGCATGTTTCAGTCAGGTAGGTGTCTACACCAGACATTGATACGTGATTCAGTCAGGTGGGTGTCTACACCAGACATTGATACGTGTTTCAGTCAGGTAGGTGTCTACACCAGACATTGATACGTGTTTCAGTCAGGTGGGTGTCTACACCAGACATTGATACGTGTTTCAGTCAGGTGGGTGTCTACACCAGACATTGATACTTGTTTCAGTCAGGTAGGTGTCTACACCAGACATTGATACGTGTTTCAGTCAGGTAGGTGTCTACCCCAGACATTGATACGTGATAGTCCCAGATGTTTGGTTCGTGGTTTCAAATAACTTGTTGAAATGTAAGATGATTGGACCACTCTGATTTTCGCCTGTAGAATGACAAGATCGAGTCGGCGCTGAAAGACCAGTTTCAGCTGACGGATGTGAAGCAGCTGGGCTATGGAAACATCGGTCGCCTCATCACCGCCGCGGACAAGCCTGGGAAGCACAAGTCTGCGGAGCACCTGGTGTTGTATGAAGCGGCCATTGCCGGCCAAACCAGGTAGGCAATTTTACTTGGTGTGAGTTGGAAGGATTTATCACGCTCAGTATGTAGGTTAACCCGCTTGTCTAAACCCTCAGTATTGATTGACCCTCTCAGTGTAGATTACCCTTCTGATTGTAGGTTAACCCTTACAGTGTAGATTACCCTTCTGATTGTAGGTTAACCCTTACAGTGTAGATTACCCTTCTGATTGTGGGTTAACCCTTACAGTGTAGATTACCCTTCTGATTGTAGGTTAACCCTTACAGTGTAGATTACCCTTCTGATTGTAGGTTTACCCTTACAGTGTAGATTACCCTTCTGATTGTAGGTTAACCCTTACAGTGTAGATTACCCTTCTGATTGTAGGTTAACCCTTACAGTGTAGATTACCCTTCTGATTGTGGGTTAACCCTTACAGTGTAGATTACCCTTCTGATTGTGGGTTAACCCTTACAGTGTAGATTACCCTTCTGATTGTGGGTTAACCCTTACAGTGTAGATTACCCTTCTGATTGTAGGTTAACCCTTACAGTGTAGATTACCCTTCTGATTGTAGGTTAACCCTTACAGTGTAGATTACCCTTCTGATTGTAGGTTAACCCTTACAGTGTAGATTACCCTTCTGATTGTAGGTTAACCCTTACAGTGTAGATTACCCTTCTGATTGTAGGTTAACCCTTACAGTGTAGATTACCAATCTCATTGTAGGTTAACCCTTACAGTGTAGATTACCCTTCTGATTGTAGGTTAACCCTTACAGTGTAGATTACCCTTCTGATTGTAGGTTAACCCTTACAGTGTAGATTACCCATCTCATTGTAGGTTAACCCTTACAGTGTAGATTACCCTTCTGATTGTAGGTTAACCCTTACAGTGTAGATTACCCTTCTGATTGTAGGTTAACCCTTACAGTGTAGATTACCCTTCTGATTGTAGGTTAACCCTTACAGTGTAGATTACCCTTCTGATTGTAGGTTAACCCTTACAGTGTAGATTACCCTTCTGATTGTAGGTTAACCCTTACAGTGTAGATTACTCGATCAGTGAAGGTTGTATGTTAGTTTTGAAAGTCACAGGTTCCTTGTCATAACCTTAATGTTAGAAATTGAAAATTGAAGAACTTGTCGTGTCCCTCAGTTAAAATGTTGCAGAAACCTCAGTGACCTCAATAATGTTATTGATGCTTGTGTGGTATTTGTTAGGGTGTAGTGGTCATGGCTAGATGTTTGATTCGCGTGTGGTATTTATGTCCAGCCACAGAGGTGAGGTGAAGGTCGGTATTCTTGGTCACCGGACGCGGGAGCACGCCCTGGCGTGTCTACACAACTGCCCCCTGCTGGCGGACCTGGCGCAGTGGAGTCACTGGGACATGGTGTTCCTGCCCCAGCTCGGCAAACTCAAGGATTTCCTCCACAAATACGGCGGCGTCACGTCTCTCACTGTGGAAGGTACGTGGAACCTCTTGTAATGTATGGTTTCCCATGAAGGTCTGGGGTAGAATAGGTCTTAGCAAACCCACATGCTTACCAAAATAGGCAGACTAACTTTGTCGTAAGAGGCGACTAACGGGATCAAGTTGTCAGGCTCGCTGTCTTGCTTGATGCATGTCATCGTAGCTAGGGATGCTTACTGTTAAGGCTAACTTTGTCGTAAGAGGTGACTAACGGGATCAAGTTGTCAGGCTCGCTGTCTTGCTTGATGCATGTCATCGTAGCTAGGGATGCTTACTGTTAAGGCTAACTTTGTCGTAAGAGGTGACTAACGGGATCAAGTTGTCAGGCTCGCTGTCTTGCTTGATGCATGTCATCGTAGCTAGGGATGCTTACCGTTAAGGCTAACTTTGTCATAAGAGGTGACTAACGGGATCAAGTTGTCAGGCTCGCTGTCTTGCTTGATGCATGTCATCGTAGCTAGGGATGCTTAGCGTTAAGGCTAACTTTGTCATAAGAGGTGACTGACGGGATCAAGTTGTCAGGCTCGCTGTCTTGCTTGATGCATGTCATCGTAGCTAGGGATGCTTACAATTAAGGCTAACTTTGTCGTAAGAGGTGACTAACGGGATCAAGTTGTCAGGCTCGCTGTCTTGCTTGATGCATGTCATCGTAGCTAGGGATGCTTAGCGTTAAGGCTAACTTTGTCATAAGAGGTGACTGACGGGATCAAGTTGTCAGGCTCGCTGTCTTGCTTGATGCATGTCATCGTAGCTAGGGATGCTTACCGTTAAGGCTAACTTTGTCATAAGAGGTGACTAACGGGATCAAGTTGTCAGGCTCGCTGTCTTGCTTGATGCATGTCATTGTAGCTAGGGTTGCTTACCGTTAAGGCTAACTTTGTCATAAGAGGCGACTAGCGGGATCAAGTTGTCAGGCTCGCTGTCTTGCTTGATGCATGTCATCGTAGCTAGGGATGCTTACCGTTAAGGCTAACTTTGTCATAAGAGGTGACTAACGGGATCAAGTTGTCAGGCTCGCTGTCTTGCTTGATGCATGTCATCGTAGCTAGGGATGCTTACCGTTAGGGCTAACTTTGTCGTAAGAGGCGACTAACGGGATCAAGTTGTCAGGCTCGCTGTCTTGCTTGATGCATGTCATCGTAGCTAGGGATGCTTAGCGTTAAGGCTAACTTTGTCATAAGAGGTGACTGACGGGATCAAGTTGTCAGGCTCGCTGTCTTGCTTGATGCATGTCATCGTAGCTAGGGATGCTTACAATTAAGGCTAACTTTGTCGTAAGAGGCGACTAACAGGATCAAGTTGTCAGGCTCGCTGTCTTGCTTGATGCATGTCATCGTAGCTAGGGATGCTTAGCGTTAAGGCTAACTTTGTCATAAGAGGTGACTAACGGGATCAAGTTGTCAGACTCGCTGTCTTGCTTGATGCATGTCATCGTAGCTAGGGATGCTTAGCGTTAAGGCTAACTTTGTCATAAGAGGTGACTGACGGGATCAAGTTGTCAGGCTCGCTGTCTTGCTTGATGCATGTCATCGTAGCTAGGGATGCTTACAATTAAGGCTAACTTTGTCGTAAGAGGTGACTAACGGGATCAAGTTGTCAGGCTCGCTGTCTTGCTTGATGCATGTCATCGTAGCTAGGGATGCTTAGCGTTAAGGCTAACTTTGTCATAAGAGGTGACTAACGGGATCAAGTTGTCAGGCTCGCTGTCTTGCTTGATGCATTTCACCTTATACCAGTTTCATTGATCGATGCTCATGATGTCAATCACTGGATTGTCATTTTCCTGAGGCAAGAGAGTTAACTGATTGTAAAAGTCCAGTTTCGATACTTGCTGACCTAGGCTGAATTTCCAAGATCGCCACCAGAGGCTATTACAAGTTATTTCCCTTCTATGTCCCTCCTTTTGACAAATCAGATTCCACGTCTCATATCACTTGCACTTGCTTCAAACAATATGGCCACGTCAGTCAAGATGATCTGACTGATAATTGAGAACTATATTTTAATAAAACGGGTCTTGCTTTGCAAGGTGTATCAGATCATGTGAGCACCTTGGTTAAAAACATGAAAATATTTGGAAAATATCTGCTGACACCGAGTTGGCAGTGCACATGCTTTATTTACACCATTATTTACAGACCACCATCATATGGCAGGAATGTTTTTGAGTGCAGCATTAAGAAAAACAGTGCTGTAGACGAATCAGTTTGTAATATTTTCTCATTGATCACGCAGAGGCAATATAGGTTGCTGGTACTTGAGTTTGGCCCACAGATTATTGACTGCCTGACATTGCTTCATGGTTTCTATTCTAATTGGGTTATTACATTTCACATTGGTTACAAATATTTTTTCACTCCCCATTCATCACTCTATTGGGTTTTTCCTAAAATGAGTAAGAATTTTGAGATAAAAAAAAAGATATAATGTCTTAGATGTATATGACGGTTTATGCATGTGTTTCTGTACACAAGTTAATTGAAAGTATTTTTGGTTTTGAATAGTTTTGGGGGATATTTTACTCTGTCAGCTCTAGTTTGGTTAATATGACTTCGTTTGTCATGAAAGAATTGAGGGTCAAGGCCATATTACTTCCAACAAGAAAACATCGTCTTGTGTTTTTTCAGGTGGCACAAAGAAGGTGACAACTGATGTTGTTGCCATGGAGACACAGCCTGGCAAGTTACTGAAGCTGGTGAGCCAGACATCACCTGAGAAGTTCCAGGAGGCACTCTCCCACCAGGATGTCAAAGGCACTTGCGGCCATCTTGTTTCCATGGTGATGATGAACAAGGGCATTGAGAACACCCCCACTGCACTGTTGGCCAATCACATGAAGACGGCCCTGTTCTCACTTCATGCCGCAAGTCAGACACCAGGTAACCATGGTAACATACTGTCAACAGTCATATCAGAGGTTTTTTTTATGTTGGTGCACTGTACATTATGCTCTAGCCATTTACATGTTTCAGCAGATTGAACGTCTCTTGAAGGACATAATTAAATTTGTACATTTACATCGTCATCAAGGAATAATTACTGTATGTCCAGGTGGACCCCCCCACGCCGATGTCTCCGACCCAGCAGTGATGTTTGTCCTAGAGTGTCTGGTCAAGCTGCCACTCAGACTGTGTGTTGCCCTTGCAAACCAGGTGAGCTATCCTCACCATATAAGTGAGCTGTCTTTGTCAACCAGGTTACATAACCAGGTGAACTATCCTGTAGTGTCTGATGAAGCTCCCTCTCAGGTTGTGTGTATCCCCCTTGCCAACCAGGTGAGCTATCATATAGTGTCAGGTGATGCTCCCACTCATGTTGTGTGTATCGTCCTTGTCAACCAGGTGAGCTATCCTGGAGCCTCTAGTGAAGCTCCAGTCAGGTTGTGTGTATCACCCTTGTAAACCAGATGAGCTATCCTGAAGTGTCTAGTGAAGCTCTGCTCAGGTTACATATCGCCTTTGTCAACCAGGTGAGCTATCCTTGTAAGCCAGGTGAGCTATCCTTGTAAACCAGGTGAGTAATCCTGAATCTCAGCTCAGGTTGCATATCACCTTTGCTAACCAGGTGAGCTATCTTTGTAAACCAGGTTAGCTATCCTTGTAAACCAGGTGAGTGATCCTGAAGTGTCTACTGAAGCTCCGCTCAGGTTGCATATCGCCTTTGCCAACCAAGTGAGTTATCCTTGTAAAACAGATGAGCTATCCTTGTAAACCAGGTCAGCTGTCCTTGTAAACCAGGTGAACTACCCTGTAGTGTCAAGTGAAACTCCACTGAGGTTGTGAATATCGCCCTTGCCAACCAGTTGAGCTATCCTTGTTTACCAGGTGAGCTATCCTGAAGTGTCTAGTGCAGCTCAGCTTAGCTTGTGCATATTATCTTTGCCAACCAGGTGAGCTATCCTTGTAAACCAGGTGAGCTATCCTGAAGTGTCTACTGAAGCTCCGCTTAGGTTGTGTGCGTATCGCCTTTGCCAACCAGGTGAGCTCTCCTTGTAAACCAGGTGAGCTATCTTTGTAAACCAGGTGAGCTATCCTGTAGTGTCTAGTGAAGCTCTGCTCAGGTTGTGTATCGCCTTTGCCAACCAGGTGAGCTGTCCTTGTAAACCAGGTAAGCTATCCTGTAGTGTCAAGTGAAGCTTTTGCCAAACAGGTGACTGACAGTGTAAATGTGTGCTTGACCTCAACAGATGAACTTGCAGCTTCACATGAATGATGTAATGGTGCACTGTGGTCTTTGTGTGGTGGTTTGGTTGTGAATGGTTCAGCATGGTAATCATGCCAAAAGGTAAAACTGGTTTCATGGACAATATTTCATTCCTTGATTTGTCCAATAGATATTCCTGGAACCTCTGGGTCAGGTTGTTGGCGCCACCAAGTCCAAGATGCTGCTGTTGTCGGTGTGTCGTGACGACGGCTGCAGTGTGCAGCAGCTGGAGAAGCTGGGGTGTCTGTTGGGGGTTCAGGAGTGGACCGTCACCCTCATCAACAAGTGTCAGCCACCCCTGGACGCTGTCACTGAGGTGCTCTCTGCAGCTGACATCAAGGAGCTGAGAGAGCAGGGAGAGGAGCTGATAGTGGTGAGAAATAGTGGTGCTGATAGTGGTGGGAAATAGTGGATGTGATAGTGGTGGGAAATAGTGGAGCTGATAGTGGTGGGAAATAGCGGAGCTGATAGTGGTGGGAAATAGTGGAGCTGATAGTGGTGGGAAATAGTGGATGTGATAGTGGTGGGAAATAGTGGATGTGATAGTGGTGGGAAATAGTGGAGCTGATAGTGGTTGGAAATAGTGGAGTTGATAGTGGTGGGAATTAGTGGAGGTGATAATGGTGGGAAATAGTGAAGCTGATAGTGGTGGGAAATAGTGGATGTGATAGTGGTGGGAAATAGTGGATGTGATAGTGGTGGGAAATAGTGGATGTGATAGTGGTGGGAAATAGTGGAGCTGATAGTGGTGGGAAATAGTGAAGCTGATAGTGGTGGGAAATAGCTGATGTGATAGTGGTGGGAAATAGTGGAGCTGATAGTGGTGGGAAATAGTGGATGTGATAGTGGTGGGAAATAGTGGATGTGATAGTGGTGGGAAATAGTGGATGTGATAGTGGTGGGAAATAGTGGAGCTGATAGTGGTGGGAATTAGTGGAGGTGATAATGGTGGGAAATAGTGAAGCTGATAGTGGTGGGAAATAGTGGACCTGATAGTGGTGGGAAATAGTGGATGTGATAGTGGTGGGAAATAGTGGAGCTGATAGTGGTGGGAAATAGTGGAGCTGATAGTGGTGGGAAATAGCGGAGCTGATAGTGGTGGGAAATAGTGGAGCTGATAGTGGTGGGAAATAGTGGATGTGATAGTGGTGGGAAATAGTGGAGCTGATAGTGGTGGGAAATAGTGGAGCTGATAGTGGTTGGAAATAGTGGAGTTGATAGTGGTGGGAATTAGTGGAGGTGATAATGGTGGGAAATAGTGAAGCTGATAGTGGTGGGAAATAGTGGATGTGATAGTGGTGGGAAATAGTGGATGTGATAGTGGTGGGAAATAGTGGATGTGATAGTGGTGGGAAATAGTGGAGCTGATAGTGGTGGGAAATAGTGAAGCTGATAGTGGTGGGAAATAGCTGATGTGATAGTGGTGGGAAATAGTGGAGCTGATAGTGGTGGGAAATAGTGGATGTGATAGTGGTGGGAAATAGTGGATGTGATAGTGGTGGGAAATAGTGGATGTGATAGTGGTGGGAAATAGTGGAGCTGATAGTGGTGGGAAATAGTGAAGCTGATAGTGGTGGGAAATAGCTGATGTGATAGTGGTGGGAAATAGTGGAGCTGATAGTGGTGGGAAATAGTGGATGTGATAGTGGTGGGAAATAGTGGATGTGATAGTGGTGGGAAATAGTGGATGTGATAGTGGTGGGAAATAGTGGAGCTGATAGTGGTGGGAATTAGTGGAGGTGATAATGGTGGGAAATAGTGAAGCTGATAGTGGTGGGAAATAGTGGAGTTGATAGTGGTGGGAATTAGTGGAGGTGATAATGGTGGGAAATAGTGAAGCTGAAAGTGGTGGGAAATAGTGGATGTGATAGTGGTGGGAAATAGTGGATGTGATAGTGGTGGGAAATAGTGGAGCTGATAGTGGTGGGAAATAGTGGATGTGATAGTGGTGGGAAATAGTGGAGGTAATAGTGGTGGGATATACTGCAGGGATGGGGAGGTGAGAATTAGTTAAGACAGCATCTGCCGACTGTTTCCAGGAGAGTGAGTCCGAGGAGGAATCAGACTCAGAGTCTGAGGCGGACACGGACGATCTGGACTCCATCTTATCTGATGACAACCAGGAGGTACAGCCAGCTGCCAAGAAGGAGCCGGTTGGGACAGAGGAGGGGATCACGGCGGAGACAGAGGAGGGGGTCACGGCGGAGACAGAGGAGGGGGTCACGGTGGAGACAGAGAAGGGGGTCACGGTCAGGAAGGACCAGGAGGCAAAGCCAGGGGAGGAGGCGGACATGACGGAAGGCGGTGGGGAAGACAGGAAAAAAGGTATGTACAAGCCGTATGTCTGACATCTTCATGTCTGCTGTTTGGGGATCATGGCTTCCTGCTTATGCTACAATATCGTTCGGCTCTGACCCATGTGGACTTGCACTGTCACATTATATTGTGTTGATGGTTACAGGAAGCTCAGATTCATGGGAGGAGGAAGAAAAGGATAAGCTGGAGGAAGGGCAGAGAGCAGGAGATGACAATGACCCAAAGTTGAACAAATACCAGCTTATCATTGAGCAGATTCGGCGGGAGGAGTTCGGGATTGGGGTTGAGTTGAACGAGGATGGACAGCGGCTGATGAAGGTGCAGCAGGAGCGGCTTGGGCGGAGTCTGGACCGACTGTCTCGCGATCTGTACAGCAAGGACACCCACTTCGTGCTGGAGCTGGTGCAGAATGCAGACGACAACGCCTACCCAGACAACATCCTGAATAATGAGAACGATCAGTGTCCGTCGGTGAAGTTCCGGATCGACTCCGATGGGGTGATGGTCCAGAACAATGAGAATGGTTTCCGGGAGAAGGATATCCGAGCTCTCTGTGATGTGGGCAGGAGCACCAAAGGCAAACACAAGTTCGGGTACATCGGTGAGTCTTAGTACACAGCATCTGGTCATGTACATCACTGTGAACATTTGGTAAGATCGTCACGTCACTGCCAGTAACTGTAATTTTGCAGTGATATTTTTACTCACTGACTAGGGAAGTATGTACAAGGGATGTTCATTAAAGATTTCCCCTGACCCACTTCCGATGGACCTAGTGGAATGAAACTTGGCATAGGTATTAGTCTTTCTCCACATAGGAACCACCAAGAGTTATACACTTCTCCCATCGTTTTATGCAACTATGGAGACCTCGCTTATAAAAGCCCTCATTTTGCATCTCAAACCAGGACTTGACTTCAGAAATCCAAAAGATCCTTTGAGCAATTGACTCGTTCCTGCTTTTGGAAAGGTGTGAGCAGCCTGGGAATCCATCGTGCAGACACCTTATGCATGTTCCAATTGTCATGGATGATTTTTTCCACAGACCCTACACTGATCTTGACATCTTTTTCTAACTGGCAAACAGTTATACGTCGGTCTGCCAAAATAACGGTCTCCACTTGATGGATAGTGTCCTCATCAATGGCTGAATGGGGGCGACCAGGAATGGCAGCTGTTTCCACAGATGTCCGACCACACTTGAACTGGCAAGCCAGTGTTTAACAACGTCATATGATGGGGCATCTTCCCCATAAGTTGCTTTCATGTCATCAAAAGTTTCTTTTGGTGTGCGACCTTTCAAATATAAAAACCTAATCATTGCTCGGTATTCTACTGGCTCCATTGTCACACCCTACTCGATCATAAGACCTGTAAAAGTGGTAAGATTAACAGTTCGGTGCTGCAAATTCAGACATAACCCATAGATACATGTATCATTACCCATGTGAAATTTCAACCAAATATGATAACCCTAAGTGGTTTAGGGGAAATCTTTAATGAACACCCCTCGTACTTCCTTGAATCCATGTATAATGAGATCAGGGCTCATAGTGCTTGATAATCTCTTCACAGGACAGAAAGGAATTGGTTTCAAGTCGGTGTTCCGGGTAACAGACTGCCCTGAAGTTCACTCTAATGGCTTCCACATGAAGTTTGATGTGAAGAGCGGACCGACAGGCTACATTCTGCCGCACTGGGTGGAGGACGGGGAGGAACAGGCTCCGGATGAAGGGTGAGTTGTCATTGGACGAGGAGCAGACGCAGGGTGATGGGTGAGTTGTCAGCAGCAACCAGGTGGATGAGGAACAGGCTCAGGATGAAGGGTGAGTTGTCAGTGGCAACCAGGTGGACGAGGAACAGGCTCAGGGGGATGCATGAGTTTTCTGTTGACGAGGAACAGGCTCAGGATGAAGGGTGAGTTGTCAGTGGCAACCAGGTGGACGAGGAACAGGCTCAGGGGGATGCATGAGTTTTCTGTTGACGAGGAACAGGCTCAGGATGAAGGGTGAGTTGTCAGTGGCAACCAGGTGGACGAGGAACAGACTCAGAGTGAAAGGTGAGTTATCTGTGGTGTCCTGTGATCCAGTGTTCAGCATGTGTGTGATCTGCTTGCAGCTGGACGACACGCATCTATCTGCCCTTGAAGGAGATGATGAGTCTGCAGACGAGGTCCCTGGCTGCCAGGTTTAATGACGTCCATCCCTCCTTGCTGCTGTTCCTGCATCGCCTGCGGCAGATCACCGTGGAGAACTTGGTGAGTACTGCACCAGACACAGGGAGACACCGCCAGACACAGGCAGACGCAGCCAGACACAGGCAGACACAGCCAGACACAGGCAGACACAGCCAGAAACAGCCAGACACAGCCAGACACAAGCAGACACAGGCAGACACAGCCAGACACAGGCAAACACAGCCAGAAACAGCCAGACACAGCCAGACACAAGCAGACACAGGCAGACACAGCCAGACACAGGCAGATACATGCAGACACAGGCAGACACAAGCAGACACAGCCAGACACAGGCAGACAAAGGCAGATACAGCCAGACACAGCCAGAGACAGCCAGATACATGCAGACACAGCCAGACACAGCCAGACACAAGCAGACACAAGCAGACACAGCCAGACACAGCCAGACACAAGCAGACACAGCCAGACACAGCCAGACACAAGCAGACACAGGCAGACAAAGGCAGATAAAGCCAGACACAGCCAGACACAGGCAGACACAGCCAGACACAAGCAGACAAAGGCATATACAGCCAGACACAGCCAGAGACAGCCAGTGACAGGCAGACACAGCCAGACACAGCCAGACACAAGCAGACAAAGGCAGACAAAGGCAGACACAGGCAGACACAGCCAGACTCAAGCAGACAAAGGCAGATACAGCCAGACACAGCCAGAGACAGCCAGAGACAGGCAGACACAGCCAGACACAAGCAGACACAGGCAGACACAGCCAGAGACAGCCAGACACAGGCAGACACAGGCAGACACAGGCAGACACAGGCAGACACAGCCAGACACATTCAGACACAAGCAGACACAAGCAGACACAGCCAGACACAACCTGACACAAGCAGACACAGGCAGACACAGCCAGAGACAGCCAGAGACAGACAGACACAGCCAGACACAGCCAGACACAAGCAGACACAGGCAGACACAGCCAGAGACAGGCAGATACATGCAGACACAAGCAGACACAAGCAGACACAGCCAGACACAAGCAGATACATGCAGACACAGCCAGACACAAGCAGACACAGTCAGACAAAGGCAGACAAAGGCAGATACAGCCAGACACAGCCAGAGACAGCCAGAGACAGGCAGACACAGCCAGACACAAGCAGACACAGCCAGACACAGCCAGACACAGCCAGACACAGGCAGATACATGCAGACACAGCCAGACACAGCCAGAGACAGCCAGAGACAGCCAGAGACAGCCAGACACAGGCAGACACAGCCAGACACAGCCAGACACAGGCAGACACAGCCAGACACAGCCAGACACAGGCAGACACAGCCAGACACAAGCAGACACAGGCAGAGACAGCCAGACACAAGCAGACACAGCCAGACACAGGCAGATACAGCCAGACACAGGCAGACACACCCTGACACAGGCAGACACAAGCAGACACAGCCAGACACAGGCAGATACAGCCTGACACAGGCAGACACAGGCAGATACATCCTGAAACAGCCAGACACAGCCTGACACAGCCAGACACAGTCAGATACAGGCAGATACAGCCTGACACAAGCAGACACAGCCAGAGACAGCCAGAGACAGCCAGAGACAGCCAGACACAGACAGACACAGCCAGACACAGCCAGACACAGCCAGACACAGCCAGACACAGGCAGACACAGCCAGACACAGCCAGACTCAGCCAGACACAAGCAGACACAGCCAGACTCAGCCAGACACAGGCAGACACAGCCAGACACAGGCTGACACAGCCAGACACAAGCAGACACAGCCAGACACAGCCAGACACAAGCAGACACAGGTAGACACAGCCAGAGACAGCCAGACACAGGCAGACACAGCCAGACACAAGCAGACACAGGCAGAGACAGCCAGACACAAGCAGACACAGCCAGACACAGCCAGACACAGGCAGATACAGCCAGACACAGGCAGACACACCCTGACACAGGCAGACACAAGCAGACACAGCCAGACACAGGCAGATACAGCCTGACACAGGCAGACACAGGCAGATACATCCTGAAACAGCCAGACACAGCCTGACACAGCCAGACACAGTCAGATACAGGCAGATACAGCCTGACACAAGCAGACACAGCCAGACACAGTCAGATACATCCAGACACAGGCACACACAGCCACACACAGCCAGACACAGACAGACACAGGCAGACACAGGCAGACACAGCCAGACACAGCCAGACACAAGCAGACACAGCCAGACACAGGCAGATACAGCCTGAAACAAGCAGACACAGCCAGACATAGGCAGATACAGGCAGACACTGGGGGGCACTGGAAGGGACTGTGAGGGACTAGTGGGCCATAGGTAGGTCTCATGTAATATGTCGTGGACAAGAAACCATGTAGTCCTACCTGTGCCAAGCATAACCCCTAGCCATAGTCACATGGTATAGTGATCATTTGTTAGTTTGCTTCTTTCGTCAGATTGAATGTAATGTGGTGACAATGCGACGCCGGGATCTTGGGGAAGGCATCATTGAGATCGACCATGGCACCAAGGTGGACAGGTGGCTGGTCATCAGGAAGCTGCTGGACGCGTCGGCGATCTCCATACAGGTGAGCTCCTTGCTGACCTCCATACAGGTGGGTCCTTTACCTCCATACAGGTGGTTTCTTGACCTCCATACAGGTGGTTCCTTGGCCTCCATACAGGTGGTTCCTTGACCTCAATACAGATGGGTTCCTTGACCTCCATACAGATGGTTCCTTGGCCTCCATACAGGTGGTTCCTTGACCTCAATACAGGTGGTTCCTTGGCCGCCATACAGGTGGTTCCTTGACCTCCATACAGGTGGTTCCTTGACCTCAATACAGATGGGTTCCTTGGCCTCCATACAGGTGGGTTCCTTGACCTCCATATGGGTGGGTTCCTTGACCTCCATACAGATGGGTTCCTTGACCTCCATACAGAAGGGTTTCTTGACCTCCATACAGATGGGTTCCTTGACCTCCATACAGGTGGTTCCTTGGCCTCCATACAGGTGGGTTCCTTGCTACCTCAATACAGGTGGGTTCCTTGACCTCCATACAGATGGGTTCCTTGACCTCCATACAGGTGGGTTCCTTGACCTCCATACAGATGGGTTCCTTGACCTCCATACAGGTGGTTCCTTGACCTCAATACAGGTGGGTTCCTTGCTACCTCAATACAGGTGGGTTCCTTGACCTCCATACCGGTGGTTCCTTGGCCTCCATACAGGAGGTTCCTTGACCTCCATACATGTTGGTTCCTTGACCTCCATACAGGTGGTTCCTTGACCTCAATACAGGTAGGTTCCTTGACCTCCATACAGGTGGTTCCTTGGCCTCCATGTCCTTGACCTTCATACAGATGGGTTCCTTGACCTCCATACAGGTAGTTCCTTGGCCTCCATACAGGTAGTTCCTTGCTACCTCAATACAGGTGGGTTCCTTGACCTCCATACAGATGGGTTCCTTGACCTCCATACAGGTGGTTCCTTGACCTCCATACAGGTGGTTCCTTGACCTCAATACAGGTGGGTTCCTTGGCCACCATACAGGTGGTTCCTTGACCTCAGTACAGATGGGTCCCTTGGCCTCCATACAGGTGGTTCCTTGGCCTCCATACAGGTGGTTCCTTGACTTCCATACAGGTGGTTCCTTGACCTCCATACAGAGGGGTTTCTTGGCCCCCATACAGAGGGGTTTCTTGGCCTCCATACAGAGGGGTTTCTTGGCCCCCATACAGAGGGGTTCCTTGGCCCCCATACAGAGGGGTTTCTTGGCCCCCATACAGAGGGGTTCCTTGACCTCCATACAGGTGGTTCCTTGACCCCCATACAGAGGGGTTTCTTGGCCCCCATACAGAGGGGTTTCTTGGCCCCCATACAGAGGGGTTTCTTGGCCCCCATACAGAGGGGTTTCTTGGCCCCCATATAGGTGGTTCCTTGACCCCCATACAGAGGGGTTCCTTGGCCCCCATACAGAGGGGTTTCTTGGCCCCCATACAGAGGGGTTTCTTGGCCCCCATACAGGTGGTTCCTTGACCCCCATACAGAGGGGATTCTTGGCCTCCATACAGAGGGGTTCCTTGACCCCCATACAGAGGGGTTCCTTGACCTCCATACAGGTGGTTTCTTGGCCTCCATACAGGTGGTTCCTTGGCCCCCATACAGAGGGGTTTCTTGGCCCCCATACAGGTGGTTCCTTGACCCCCATACAGGTGGTTTCTTGGCCCCCATACAGAGGGGTTTCTTGGCCCCCATACAGAGGGGTTTCTTGGCCTCCATACAGGTGGTTCCTTGGCCCCCATACAGAGGGGTTTCTTGGCCCCCATACAGAGGGGTTCCTTGACCCCCATACATATGGGTTCCTTGACCTCCATACAGGTGGGTTCCTTGACCCCTATACAGAGGGGTTTCTTGGCCCCCATACAGAGGGGTTTCTTGGCCCCCATACAGGTGGTTCCTTGACCCCCATACAGAGGGGTTTCTTGGCCTCCATACAGAGGGGTTCCTTGACCCCCATACAGAGGGGTTCCTTGACCTCCATACAAGTGGTTTCTTGGCCTCCATACAGGTGGTTCCTTGGCCCCCATACAGAGGGGTTTCTTGGCCCCCAAACAGAGGGGTTCCTTGACCCCCATACATATGGGTTCCTTGACCTCCATACAGGTGGGTTCCTTGACCCCTATACAGAGGGGTTTCTTGGCCTCCATACAGAGGGGTTTCTTGGCCCCCATACAGGTGGTTCCTTGACCCCCATACAGAGGGGTTTCTTGGCCTCCATACAGAGGGGTTCCTTGACCCCCATACAGAGGGGTTCCTTGACCTCCATACAGAGGGGTTCCTTGACCTCCATACAGAGGGGTTCCTTGACCCCCATACAGAGGGGTTTCTTGGCCTCCATACAGAGGGGTTTCTTGGCCTCCATACAGAGGGGTTCCTTGACCCCCATACAGAGGGGTTTCTTGGCCTCCATACAGAGGGGTTTCTTGGCCTCCATACATATGGGTTCCTTGACCTCCATACAGGTGGTTCCTTGACCTCCATACAGGTGGGTTCCTTGCTTACCAGCAGACACCCAGATCGTGACAGATATCGCTTATCTAACCCTGGATTATTATTGATCGTTTTCAGGGCGCTGTGATAAATCTACTCTACTCTACTCAATCTTGGTATGGATGTCAACGCTTGAGATGGTAAGCGAGGCAGCGCTAACCTACCTCCTATGGGGCTTTGAACATGCTGCACTGTACACAATAATGAATGTGGTAATATAGATAGGTATAGATAGTCTTTCCTTGATGTCTGTCCAGGCCAAGTCGGGAGTAGACGTGGAGTCCACAGAAATTGCCCTGGCGTTCCCACTCCGCAACAAGGACCAGAAGTTGAAGGTGCATGTCCTCCCCAACAAGCAGCCCGTCTTTGCCTTCCTGCCCCTTCGGAGCTATGGCTTCCGCTTCATCATACAAGGTGCGTCATTGGTCAGCTGTGTGGGGTGATGTGTGACTGTGTTGTAGTTATGTGTCACTGTGTGACTGTGTTGTAGTTATGTGTCACTGTGTGACTGTGTTGTAGTTATGTGTGACTGTGGGGTAGTGATGTGTGACTGTGTTGTAGTTATGTGTCACTGTGTGACTGTGTTGTAGTTATGTGTCACTGTGTGACTGTGGGGTAGTGATTTGTGATTGTGTTGTTGTTATGTGTCACTGTGTGACTGTGGGGTAGTGATTTGTGACTGTGTTGTAGTGATGTCTGACCGTGTTGTAGTTATGTGTGACTGTGTTGTTGTGATATGTGACTCTGTGACTGTGGGGTAGTGATTTGTGACTGTGTTGTAGTGATGTCTGACTGTGTTGTTGTGATATGTGACTGTGACTATGGTGTAGTGATGTGTGACTGTTGTAGTGATGTGTGACTGTGTTGTAGTTATGTGTGACTGTGTTGTAGTTATGTGTGACTGTGGTGTAGTGATGTGTGACTGTGGTATAGTGATGTGTGACCGTGTTGTAGTGATGTGTGACTGTGTTGTAGTTATGTGTGACTGTGGTGTAGTGATGTGTGACTGTGTGACTGTGGTGTAGTGATGTGTGACTGTGTTGTAGTGATGTGTGACTGTGTTGTAGTTATGTGTGACTGTGTTGTCGTGATGAGTGACTGTGTTGTAGTGATGTGTGACTGTGTTGTAGTGATGTGTGACTGTGTTGTAGTGATGTGTGACTGTGTTGTAGTTATGTGTGACTGTGGTGTAGTGATGTGTGACTGTGTTGGAGTGATGTGTGACTGTGTTGTAGTGATGTGTGACTGTGTTGTAGTGATGTGTGACTGTTGTAGTGATGTGTGAATGTGTTGTCGTGATATGTGACTGTTGTCGTGATGTGTGACTGTTGTCGTGATGTGTGACTGTGTTGTAGTGATGTGTGACTGTGTTGTAGTGATGTGTGACTGTGTTGTAGTGATGTGTGACTGGTGTAGTGATGAGTGACTGTGTTGTAGTGATGTGTGACTGTGTTGTCGTGATGTGTGACTGTGTTGTAGTGCTGTGTGACTGTGTTGTAGTTATGTGTGACTGTGGTGTAGTGATTTGTGACTGTTGTAGTGATGTGTGACTGTGTTGTTGGGATATGTGACTCTGTGACTGTGGTGTAGTGATGTGTGACTGTGTTGTAGTGCTGTGTGACTGTTGTAGTGCTGTGTGACTGTGTTGTAGTGCTGTGTGACTGTGTTGTAGTGATGTGTGACTTGTCGTGATGTGTGACTGTGTTGTCGTGATGTGTGACTGTTGTAGTGATGTGTGAATGTGTTGTCGTGATATGTGACTGTTGTCGTGATGTGTGACTGTGTTGTAGTGATGTGTGACTGTTGTAGTGATGTGTGACTGTGTTGTAGTGATGAGTGACTGTGTTGTAGTGATCCGTGACTGTTGTTGTGATGTGTGACTGTGTTGTAGTGATGTGTGACTGTGTTGTAGTGATGTGTGACTGTGTTGTAGTGATGTGTGACTGTGTTGTTGTGATGTGTGACTGTGTTGTTGTGATGTGTGACTGTGTTATAGTGATGAGTGACTGTGTTGTCGTGATGAGTGACTGTGTTGTAGTGCTGTGTGACTGTGTTGTAGTGATGTGTGACTGTGTTATAGTGATGAGTGACTGTGTTGTAATGATGTGTGACTGTGTTGTCGTGATGTGTGAGTGTGTTGTTGTGATGTGTGACTGTGTTGTCGTGATGAGTGACTGTGTTGTAGTGCTGTGTGACTGTGTTGTAGTGATGTGTGACTGTGTTGTAGTGATGTGTGACTGTGTTATAGTGATGTGTCACAATATTCTCTCCTCAGGTGACTTTGATGTGCCCTCTAGTCGGGAGGACGTTGATCGAGACAGTCCATGGAACCAGTGGTTAAGGAACGAAATCCACACTCTCTTCATCGAGGCACTGGACATCTTCAAGGTAGGTACACTCCCCTTAGCAACAGCATGCCTAGCGTTATGGGGTCTGGGTGACCTTGACACTTTGACCTTGACCATACTCTGTCCCCATCATCTTCATCTTCCTTACCTCTGTCTCCCAGTCTCACCCGGACTTCAGCAACATGGAAGCGCTTGCTGCCTACCTCCAGTTTGTGCCGATGGAGGATGAAATACTCGACTTCTTCCGTCCAGTCGCCACCCAGATCCTGGGAAAACTCCGGGCTAAAGAGTGCCTGCCTGTCCAGACCAACAAGAAAGGTACTCCTGCCACTCTATGCATGTTGTTTGTTTGTTTGTTTGTTGTTCAACACCGCACTCAGCAATATTCCAGCTATATGACGGCGGTCTGTAAATAATCGAGTCTTGACCAGACAATCCAGTGATATCATGAACATCAATCCATGCAATTGGGATTGATGACTTGTATCAACCAAGTCAGTGAGCCTGACCACCAATCCTGTTGGTCGCCTCTTACGACAAGCATAGTCGCCTTTTACGGCAAGCATGTGCTGCTGAAGACCTGTTCTACCCCGGATCTTCATGGGTCTGTATGCATGTAGATGTATTATAGATGTGTCACACCATTCTACTACATCTACAGGGGACACAGATGTGTAAGGTGCGATTCACTGAAACCAATGATGGTGGGTCGAATCCCAGATTTGCCCGTGCTCATGGGTTTCACCAAAGTGTTAAACGCCTGAAACCTGCATCACTTTAGGCTATTGATTTCGGCACTTTCTGATATAGCTCTGAGTTTCAGATGGCCTTCGGTCAGTGGTCATAGACCGATAACATTTCAATTTGACCGATGATTTGTATAAGTAGTTGGACTTTTGACTGATAGAAATGCTAAGCAAGGCTACAGTATCAAAGTTTCTTACAACCAAATAAGGCCTAACCATCAAAATTTGTAATGGAAATTGTGGGCAGTGCATGTCTTTACATCATACCTTCTGTATCATAGGGAAACGTTTTCAGGAGTTATAAGGACTTAGTCAAGCGCTTTTCTTATTGGAACGTTTTATTGGCCAGATTGTATATATTCATCCAAACATGAACGGTATTGCTTTGATTTGTTGTTATGGTTCGTCTGCCTTGATTTGTTGATTTGACTTTTGCCACTGACTTTTGCCACTGACTTTTGCCACTGACTTATTACATGTCTTGGGTCCAAGTCCTACATACAGCTTTTAGTGTCCAAATCACTGGAGCTGAAGTACAATCTCCCTCCCTCCTTCACACACCCACTCACTGTATCTGCTTGTGTTTGTAGGTATGCTATACATGTATCTGTACATACAAGATCCTGGCCTCTGTGTCAGTATATAATTGTATGGATGTTGTATTACATGGATCTGTACATACAAGATCCTGGCCTCTGTGTCAGTATATAACTGTATGGATGTTGTATGACATGGATCTGTACATACAAGATCCTGGCCTCTGTGTCAGTATATAATTGTATGGATGTTATATTACATGGATCTGTACATACAAGATCCTGGCCTCTGTGTCAGTATATAACTGTATGGATGTTGTATTACATGGATCTGTACATACAAGATCCTGGCCTCTGTGTCAGTATGTAATTGTATGGATGTTGTATGACATGGATCTGTACATACAAGATCCTGGCCTCTGTGTCAGTATATAATTGTATGGATGTTGTATGACATGGATCTGTACATACAAGATCCTGGCCTCTGTGTCAGTATATAATTGTATAGATGTTATATTACATGGATCTGTACATACAAGATCCTGGCCTCTGTGTCAGTATATAATTGTATGGATGTTGTATGACATGGATCTGTACATACAAGATCCTGGCCTCTGTGTCAGTATATAATTGTATGGATGTTATATTACATGGATCTGTACATACAAGATCCTGGCCTCTGTGTCAGTATATAATTGTATGGATGTTGTATGACATGGATCTGTACATACAAGATCCTGGCCTCTGTGTCAGTATATAATTGTATGGATGTTATATTACATGGATCTGTACATACAAGATCCTGGCCTCTGTGTCAGTATATAATTGTATGGATGTTGTATGACATGGATCTGTACATACAAGATCCTGGCCTCTGTGTCAGTATATAATTGTATGGATGTTATATTACATGGATCTGTACATACAAGATCCTGGCCTCTGTGTCAGTATATAATTGTATGGATGTTGTATGACATGGATCTGTACATACAAGATCCTGGCCTCTGTGTCAGTATATAATTGTATGGATGTTGTATTACATGGATCTGTACATACAAGATCCTGGCCTCTGTGTCAGTATGTAATTGTATGGATGTTGTATGACATGGATCTGTACATACAAGATCCTGGGCTCTGTGTCAGTATATAATTGTATGGATGTTGTATTACATGGATCTCTACATACAAGATCCTAGCCTCTGTGTCAGTATATAATTGTATAGATGTTGTATGACATGGATCTGTACATACAAGATCCTGGCCTCTGTGTCAGTATATAATTGTATGGATGTTGTATGACATGGATCTGTACATACAAGATCCTGGCCTCTGTGTCAGTATATAATTGTATGGATGTTGTATGACATGGATCTGTACATACAAGATCCTGGCCTCTGTGTCAGTATATAATTGTATGGATGTTGTATGACATGGATCTGTACATACAAGATCCTGGCCTCTGTGTCAGTATATAATTGTATGGATGTTGTATGACATGGATCTGTACATACAAGATCCTGGCCTCTGTGTCAGTATATAATTGTATGGTTGTTGTATGACATGGATCTGTACATACAAGATCCTGGCCTCTGTGTCAGTATATAATTGTATGGATGTGGTATGACATGGATCTGTACATACAAGATCCTGGCCTCTGTGTCAGTATGTAATTGTATGGATGTTGTATGACATGGATCTGTACATACAAGATCCTGGCCTCTGTGTCAGTATATAATTGTATGGTTGTTGTATGACATGGATCTGTACATACAAGATCCTGGCCTCTGTGTCAGTATATAATTGTATGGATGTTGTATGACATGGATCTGTACATACAAGATCCTGGCCTCTGTGTCAGTATATAATTGTATGGATGTTGTATGACATGGATCTGTACATACAAGATCCTGGCCTCTGTGTCAGTATGTAATTGTATGGATGTTGTATGACATGGATCTGTACATACAAGATCCTGGCCTCTGTGTCAGTATATAATTGTATGGTTGTTGTATGACATGGATCTGTACATACAAGATCCTGGCCTCTGTGTCAGTATATAATTGTATGGATGTTGTATGACATGGATCTGTACATACAAGATCCTGGCCTCTGTGTCAGTATATAATTGTATGGATGTTGTATGACATGGATCTGTACATACAAGATCCTGGCCTCTGTGTCAGTATATAATTGTATGGATGTTGTATGACATGGATCTGTACATACAAGATCCTGGCCTCTGTGTCAGTATATAATTGTATGGATGTTGTATTACATGGATCTGTACATACAAGATCCTGGCCTCTGTGTCAGTATATAATTGTATGGATGTTGTATGACATGGATCTGTACATACAAGATCCTGGCCTCTGTGTCAGTATATAATTGTATGGATGTTGTATGACATGGATCTGTACATACAAGATCCTGGCCTCTGTGTCAGTATGTAATTGTATGGATGTTGTATGACATGGATCTGTACATACAAGATCCTGGGCTCTGTGTCAGTATGTAATTGTATGGATGTTGTATTACATGGATCTGTACATACAAGATCCTGGCCTCTGTGTCAGTATATAATTGTATGGATGTTGTATAACATGGATCTGTACATACAAGAACCTGGCCTCTGTGTCAGTATATAATTGTATGGATGTGGTATGACATGGATCTGTACATACAAGATCCTGGCCTCTGTGTCAGTATGTAATTGTATGGATGTTGTATGACATGGATCTGTACATACAAGATCCTGGCCTCTGTGTCAGTATATAATTGTATGGTTGTTGTATGACATGGATCTGTACATACAAGATCCTGGCCTCTGTGTCAGTATATAATTGTATGGATGTTGTATGACATGGATCTGTACATACAAGATCCTGGCCTCTGTGTCAGTATATAATTGTATGGATGTTGTATGACATGGATCTGTACATACAAGATCCTGGCCTCTGTGTCAGTATATAATTGTATGGATGTTGTATGACATGGATCTGTACATACAAGATCCTGGCCTCTGTGTCAGTATATAATTGTATGGATGTTGTATTACATGGATCTGTACATACAAGATCCTGACCTCTGTGTCAGTATGTAATTGTATGGATGTTGTATTACATGGATCTGTACATACAAGATCCTGGGCTCTGTGTCAGTATATAATTGTATGGATGTTGTATAACATGGATCTGTACATACAAGATCCTGGCCTCTGTGTCAGTATATAATTGTATGGTTGTTGTATGACATGGATCTGTACATACAAGATCCTGGCCTCTGTGTCAGTATATAATTGTATGGATGTGGTATGACATGGATCTGTACATACAAGATCCTGGCCTCTGTGTCAGTATATAATTGTATGGATGTTATATTACATGGATCTGTACATACAAGATCCTGGCCTCTGTGTCAGTATATAATTGTATGGATGTTGTATTACATGGATCTGTACATACAAGATCCTGGCCTCTGTGTCAGTATATAATTGTATGGATGTTGTATGACATGGATCTGTACATACAAGATCCTGGCCTCTGTGTCAGTATGTAATTGTATGGATGTTGTATGACATGGATCTGTACATACAAGATCCTGGGCTCTGTGTCAGTATGTAATTGTATGGATGTTGTATTACATGGATCTGTACATACAAGATCCTGGCCTCTGTGTCAGTATATAATTGTATGGATGTTGTATAACATGGATCTGTACATACAAGAACCTGGCCTCTGTGTCAGTATATAATTGTATGGATGTGGTATGACATGGATCTGTACATACAAGATCCTGGCCTCTGTGTCAGTATGTAATTGTATGGATGTTGTATGACATGGATCTGTACATACAAGATCCTGGCCTCTGTGTCAGTATATAATTGTATGGTTGTTGTATGACATGGATCTGTACATACAAGATCCTGGCCTCTGTGTCAGTATATAATTGTATGGATGTTGTATGACATGGATCTGTACATACAAGATCCTGGCCTCTGTGTCAGTATATAATTGTATGGATGTTGTATGACATGGATCTGTACATACAAGATCCTGGCCTCTGTGTCAGTATATAATTGTATGGATGTTGTATGACATGGATCTGTACATACAAGATCCTGGCCTCTGTGTCAGTATATAATTGTATGGATGTTGTATTACATGGATCTGTACATACAAGATCCTGACCTCTGTGTCAGTATGTAATTGTATGGATGTTGTATTACATGGATCTGTACATACAAGATCCTGGGCTCTGTGTCAGTATATAATTGTATGGATGTTGTATAACATGGATCTGTACATACAAGATCCTGGCCTCTGTGTCAGTATATAATTGTATGGTTGTTGTATGACATGGATCTGTACATACAAGATCCTGGCCTCTGTGTCAGTATATAATTGTATGGATGTTGTATGACATGGATCTGTACATACAAGATCCTGGCCTCTGTGTCAGTATATAATTGTATGGATGTTATATTACATGGATCTGTACATACAAGATCCTGGCCTCTGTGTCAGTATATAATTGTATGGATGTTGTATTACATGGATCTGTACATACAAGATCCTGGCCTCTGTGTCAGTATATAATTGTATGGATGTTGTATGACATGGATCTGTACATACAAGATCCTGGCCTCTGTGTCAGTATATAATTGTATGGATGTTGTATGACATGGATCTGTACATACAAGATCCTGGCCTCTGTGTCAGTATATAATTGTATGGATGTTGTATTACATGGATCTGTACATACAAGATCCTGGCCTCTGTGTCAGTATATAATTGTATGGATGTTGTATGACATGGATCTGTACATACAAGATCCTGGCCTCTGTGTCAGTATATAATTGTATGGATGTTATATTACATGGATCTGTACATACAAGATCCTGGCCTCTGTGTCAGTATATAATTGTATGGATGTTGTATGACATGGATCTGTACATACAAGATCCTGGCCTCTGTGTCAGTATATAATTGTATGGATGTTGTATGACATGGATCTGTACATACAAGATCCTGGCCTCTGTGTCAGTATATAATTGTATGGATGTTGTATGACATGGATCTGTACATACAAGATCCTGGCCTCTGTGTCAGTATATAATTGTATGGATGTTGTATGACATGGATCTGTACATACAAGATCCTGGCCTCTGTGTCAGTATGTAATTGTATGGATGTTGTATGACATGGATCTGTACATACAAGATCCTGGGCTCTGTGTCAGTATGTAATTGTATGGATGTTATATTACATGGATCTGTACATACAAGATCCTGGCCTCTGTGTCAGTATATAATTGTATGGATGTTGTATGACATGGATCTGCACATACAAGATCCTGGCCTCTGTGTCAGTATATAATTGTATGGATGTTGTATGACATGGATCTGTACATACAAGATCCTGGCCTCTGTGTCAGTATATAATTGTATGGATGTTGTATGACATGGATCTGTACATACAAGATCCTGGCCTCTGTGTCAGTATATAATTGTATGGATGTTGTATTACATGGATCTGTACATACAAGATCCTGGCCTCTGTGTCAGTATATAATTGTATGGATGTTGTATGACATGGATCTGTACATACAAGATCCTGGCCTCTGTGTCAGTATATAATTGTATGGATGTTGTATGACATGGATCTGTACATACAAGATCCTGGCCTCTGTGTCAGTATGTAATTGTATGGATGTTGTATTACATGGATCTGTACATACAAGATCCTGGGCTCTGTGTCAGTATGTAATTGTATGGATGTTGTATTACATGGATCTGTACATACAAGATCCTGGCCTCTGTGTCAGTATATAATTGTATGGATGTTGTATAACATGGATCTGTACATACAAGAACCTGGCCTCTGTGTCAGTATATAATTGTATGGATGTGGTATGACATGGATCTGTACATACAAGATCCTGGCCTCTGTGTCAGTATGTAATTGTATGGATGTCGTATGACATGGATCTGTACATACAAGATCCTGGCCTCTGTGTCAGTATATAATTGTATGGTTGTTGTATGACATGGATCTGTACATACAAGATCCTGGCCTCTGTGTCAGTATATAATTGTATGGATGTTGTATTACATGGATCTGTACATACAAGATCCTGGCCTCTGTGTCAGTATGTAATTGTATGGATGTTGTATTACATGGATCTGTACATACAAGATCCTGGGCTCTGTGTCAGTATGTAATTGTATGGATGTTGTATGACATGGATCTGTACATACAAGATCCTGGCCTCTGTGTCAGTATATAATTGTATGGATGTTGTATGACATGGATCTGTACATACAAGATCCTGGCCTCTGTGTCAGTATGTAATTGTATGGATGTTGTATTACATGGATCTGTACATACAAGATCCTGGGCTCTGTGTCAGTATGTAATTGTATGGATGTTGTATTACATGGATCTGTACATACAAGATCCTGGCCTCTGTGTCAGTATATAATTGTATGGTTGTTGTATGACATGGATCTGTACATACAAGATCCTGGCCTCTGTGTCAGTATATAATTGTATGGATGTGGTATGACATGGATCTGTACATACAAGATCCTGGCCTCTGTGTCAGTATATAATTGTATGGATGTTATATTACATGGATCTGTACATACAAGATCCTGGCCTCTGTGTCAGTATATAATTGTATGGATGTTGTATGACATGGATCTGTACATACAAGATCCTGGCCTCTGTGTCAGTATATAATTGTATGGATGTTGTATGACATGGATCTGTACATACAAGATCCTGGCCTCTGTGTCAGTATGTAATTGTATGGATGTTGTATGACATGGATCTGTACATACAAGATCCTGGGCTCTGTGTCAGTATATAATTGTATGGATGTTGTATTACATGGATCTGTACATACAAGATCCTAGCCTCTGTGTCAGTATATAATTGTATAGATGTTGTATGACATGGATCTGTACATACAAGATCCTGGCCTCTGTGTCAGTATATAATTGTATGGATGTTGTATGACATGGATCTGTACATACAAGATCCTGGCCTCTGTGTCAGTATATAATTGTATGGTTGTTGTATGACATGGATCTGTACATACAAGATCCTGGCCTCTGTGTCAGTATATAATTGTATGGATGTGGTATGACATGCATCTGTACATACAAGATCCTGGCCTCTGTGTCAGTATGTAATTGTATGGATGTTGTATGACATGGATCTGTACATACAAGATCCTGGCCTCTGTGTCAGTATATAATTGTATGGTTGTTGTATGACATGGATCTGTACATACAAGATCCTGGCCTCTGTGTCAGTATATAATTGTATGGATGTTGTATGACATGGATCTGTACATACAAGATCCTGGCCTCTGTGTCAGTATATAATTGTATGGATGTTGTATGACATGGATCTGTACATACAAGATCCTGGCCTCTGTGTCAGTATATAATTGTATGGATGTTGTATGACATGGATCTGTACATACAAGATCCTGGCCTCTGTGTCAGTATATAATTGTATTGATGTTGTATGACATGGATCTGTACATACAAGATCCTGGCCTCTGTGTCAGTATATAATTGTATGGATGTTGTATGACATGGATCTGTACATACAAGATCCTGGCCTCTGTGTCAGTATATAATTGTTTGGATGTTGTATGACATGGATCTGTACATACAAGATCCTGGCCTCTGTGTCAGTATATAATTGTATGGATGTTGTATGACATGGATCTGTACATACAAGATCCTGGCCTCTGTGTCAGTATGTAATTGTATGGATGTTGTATTACATGGATCTGTACATACAAGATCCTGGGCTCTGTGTCAGTATGTAATTGTATGGATGTTGTATTACATGGATCTGTACATACAAGATCCTGGCCTCTGTGTCAGTATATAATTGTATGGATGTTGTATAACATGGATCTGTACATACAAGAACCTGGCCTCTGTGTCAGTATATAATTGTATGGATGTTTTATTACATGGATCTGTACATACAAGATCCTGGCCTCTGTGTCAGTATATAATTGTATGAGTGTTGTAATACATTGATATGTACATACAAGATCCTAGCCTCTGTGTCAGTATATAATTGTATGGATGTTGTATGACATGGATCTGTACATACAAGATCCTGGCCTCTGTGTCAGTATATATTTGTATGGATGTTTTATTACATGGATCTGTACATACAAGATTCTGGCCTCTGTGTCAGTATATAATTGTATGCATGTTGTAATACATTGATATGTACATACACAATCCTCTGTGTCAGTATATAATTGTATGGTTGTATTACATGGATCTGTACATACACAATCCTCTGTGTCAGTATATTATTGTATGGTTGCTGTGTTTCAGGATCTGTACAGCTGAAGATTCCCTCCCAGACAGTGATTGTGCGTGATCCCCTCGTAAAGGAAGTTATCTCGCCTGAACTGCTGCAGAAGAATCTCAACCTCTACTATCTGCATACTGATGTGGCCTTGACATTGACCCCTGCCCTGGCCCAGAGCCTCGGTGTGGAGAGCATCACTGTCGACCATCTGTTGCAGATCGGCAAGTCTCTGGCGCTGTCGTGGGATTCTCCAACTATTGACTGTACGTATGACATGAACTGTTGTCTGTGAGGGAGGGGGTGGTTCACTCTTCCCAGCTGAAGGCCTGGGATTAACTCCCAATAAGTACATTGTGTGAAGCCCAGTTCTGGAGTCCCCTTTATAATGGGGTTGGCAGAAAAACACTCACTCACTCACTCACTTTCACACACTCTCACACACTCACACACTCTCACTCACTCACTCACTCACTCACTCCTTTTCTCACTCTCTCACTGACTGACTTTCAAATTGTCACTAACTTTTACTCTCACACTCACTCACAAACTCACTCACAAACTCACTCACTCACTTTCACACTCTCACACACTCACTCACTCACTCACTCACATTCACACTCACACACTCACACACACACACACTCACTCACTCACTTTCACACTCTCACTCACTGACTGACTTTCACATTGTCACTAACTTTTACTCTCACACTCACTCACAAACTCACTCACTCACTTTCACACTCTCACACACTCACTCACTCACATTCACACTCTCACACTCACTCACTCACATTCACACTCTCACACTCACTCACTCACTCACTTTCACACTCTCCCACTCACTCACATTCACACTCTCACACTTACTTTCACACTCACACTCACTCACTTTCACACACTCACTCACTCACTCACTTTCACTCTCACACTCACTTTCACACTCACACTCACTCACTTTCACACTCTCACTCACTCACTCACTCACACACTCACACTCACACTCACTCACTCACTTTCACACTCACTTTCACACTCACTCTCACACTCACTCACTCACTCATTCACATTCACACTCACACATTCACTTTCACACTCTCACTCTCACACTCACTTTCACACTCACACTCACTCACTTTCACACTCTCACACTCAGCTACAGAGTAGGTTGTGGATCTCACCAAGTGGCTGGTTCTCACAGTCTCACACTCACTCACTCACTCACATTCACACGCACTCACTCACTCACTCACATTCACACTCACTCACTCACTCACTTTCACACTCTCACACACTCACTCACCCACTAACATTCACTCTCACACTCACTCAATCACTCACATTAACACTCACACACTCACTTTCACAATCTCACACTCACTCACTCACATTCACACTCTCACACTCACTCACTTTCACACTCTCCCACTCACTCACATTCACACTCTCACACTCACTTTCACACTCACACTCACTTTCACACACTCACTCACTTTCACACTCACACTCACTCACTCACTTTCACACTCTCACACTCACTTTCACACTCATACTCACTTTCACACTCATACTCACTTTCACACACTCACTCACTTTCACACTCACACTCACTCACTCACTTTCACACTCACACTCACTTTCACACTCACACTCACTCACTCACTTTCACACTCTCACACTCACTTTCACACTCATACTCACACTCACTCACATTCACACTCACACATTCACTTTCACACTCTCACACTCACACTCACTCACTTTCACACTCTCACACTTACATTCACACTCTCACACTCACTCACTTTCACACTCACTCACTCACTTTCACACTCTCACACTAACATTCACACTCTCACACTCACTCACTCACTTTGACACTCACACTCACTTTCACACTGACTCTCACACTCTCACACTCACTGACTCACTCGAGTTCACACTCAGATTCACTCACTCACTTTCACACTCTCACTTTCACACTATCACACTCACTCACTCACTCACATTCACACTCACTCACTCACATTCACACTCACACTCACTCACTTTCACACTCTCACACTAACATTCACACTCTCACACTCACTCACTTTCACACACTCACTCACTCACTTTCACACTCACACTCACTTTCACACTCTCACACTCACTCACTTTCACACACTCACTCACTCACTTTCACACTCACACTCACTTTCACACTGACTCTCACACTCTCACACTCACTGACTCACTCGAGTTCACACTCAGATTCACTCACTCACTTTCACACTCTCACTTTCACACTATCACACTCACTCACTCACTCACATTCACACTCACTCACTCACATTCACACTCACACTCACTCACTTTCACACACCCACTTACTCACTTTCAGACTCACACTCACTTTCACACTCACACTCACTCACTTTCACACTCTCACTCACTCACTCACACACTCACTTTCACACTCAGACTCACTCACTAACATTCACACTCACTCACTCACTTTCACACTATCACACTCACTCACATTCACACTCACACTCACTCACTCACATTCACACTCACAAACTCACTTTCATTCTCACACTCACTCACTTTCACACACTCACTCACTCACTCACTTTCACTCTCACACTCACTCACTTTCACACTCTCACACTCACTCACACTCACACTCACACTCACTCACTCACTCACTTTCACACTCTCACACTCACTCACACACCCACTTTCACACTCACACTCACACTCACTCACTCACTCACTCACTCACTTTCACACTCTCACACTCACTCACATACTCACTTTCACACTCACACTCACACACTCACTCACTCACTCACATTCACACTGACACATTCACTTTCACACTCACTTGCACACTCACACTCACTCACTTTCACAGTCTCACACTCACTCAGTCACTTTCACACTCTCACACTCACTCAGTCACTTTCACACTCTCACACTCACTCACATTCACATTCTCACACTCACTCACTTTCACACTCTCACACTCACTTTCACACTCACACACTCACTTTCACACTCACTCACTCACTTTCACTCTCACACTTACTTTCACACTCATACTCACACTCACTCACATTCACACTCACACATTCACTTTCACACTCTCACACTCACACTCACTCACTTTCACACTCTCACACTTACATTCACACTCTCACACTCACTCACTTTCACACTCACTCACTCACTTTCACACTCTCACACTAACATTCACACTCTCACACTCACTCACTTTCACACACTCACTCACTCACTTTCACACTCACACTCACTTTCACACTGACTCTCACACTCTCACACTCACTGACTCACTCGAGTTCACACTCAGATTCACTCACTCACTTTCACACTCTCACTTTCACACTATCACACTCACTCACTCACTCACATTCACACTCACTCACTCACATTCACACTCACACTCACTCACTTTCACACTCTCACACTAACATTCACACTCTCACACTCACTCACTTTCACACACTCACTCACTCACTTTCACACTCACACTCACTTTCACACTGACTCTCACACTCTCACACTCACTGACTCACTCGAGTTCACACTCAGATTCACTCACTCACTTTCACACTCTCACTTTCACACTATCACACTCACTCACTCACTCACATTCACACTCACTCACTCACATTCACACTCACACTCACTCACTTTTACACACTCACTTTCACAGTCTCACACTCACTCAGTCACTTTCACACTCTCACACTCACTCACATTCACATTCTCACACTCACTCACTTTCACACTCTCACACTCACTTTCACACTCACACTCACTCACTTTCACACTCACTCACTCACTCACTTTCACTCTCACACTTACTTTCACACTCACACTCACTCACTTTCACACTCTCACACTCACACTCACACTCACTCACTTTCACACTCTCACTCACACACTCACACTCACACTAACTCACTCACTTTCACACTCTCACACTCACTTTCACACTCAATCTCACACTCACTCACTCACTCATTCACATTCACACATTCACTTTCACACTCTCACACTCACATTCACACTCACACTCACTCACTTTCACACTCTCACACTAACATTCACACTCTCACACTCACTCACTTTCACACACTCACTCACTCACTTTCACACTCACACTCACTTTCACACTCTCACACTCACTCACTTTCACACACTCACTCACTCACTTTCACACTCACACTCACTTTCACACTGACTCTCACACTCTCACACTCACTGACTCACTCGAGTTCACACTCAGATTCACTCACTCACTTTCACACTCTCACTTTCACACTATCACACTCACTCACTCACTCACATTCACACTCACTCACTCACATTCACACTCACACTCACTCACTTTCACACACCCACTTACTCACTTTCAGACTCACACTCACTTTCACACTCACACTCACTCACTTTCACACTCTCACTCACTCACTCACACACTCACTTTCACACTCACTCACTCACTTTCACACTATCACACTCACTCACATTCACACTCACACTCACTCACTCACATTCACACTCACAAACTCACTTTCATTCTCACACTCACTCACTTTCACACACTCACTCACTCACTCACTTTCACTCTCACACTCACTCACTTTCACACTCTCACACTCACTCACACTCACACTCACACTCACTCACTCACTCACTTTCACACTCTCACACTCACTCACACACCCACTTTCACACTCACACTCACACTCACTCACTCACTCACTCACTCACTTTCACACTCTCACACTCACTCACATACTCACTTTCACACTCACACTCACACACTCACTCACTCACTCACATTCACACTGACACATTCACTTTCACACTCACTTGCACACTCACTTTCACACTCTCACACTCACTCACACACTCACTTTCACACTCACACTCACACACTCACTCACTCACTCACATTCACACTGACACATTCACTTTCACACTCACTTGCACACTCACACTCACTCACTTTCACAGTCTCACACTCACTCAGTCACTTTCACACTCTCACACTCACTCAGTCACTTTCACACTCTCACACTCACTCACATTCACATTCTCACACTCACTCACTTTCACACTCTCACACTCACTTTCACACTCACACACTCACTTTCACACTCACTCACTCACTTTCACTCTCACACTTACTTTCACACTCATACTCACACTCACTCACATTCACACTCACACATTCACTTTCACACTC